CACAACCATAATAAATACTCTTGGGTAATCTTCAGCCTGAAACAAGCCTTCATTTATTGACTACTTACAGTACAGTGATTTTGTATCACAGCTGGTAATCAAAGATAGTTATATATTAAGTGAGAGAAGACATTGTCTCTCTTCCGGATATCACTTCTCAGGAATCTGGGCAAATTCAGTTTTAAGAACTAGAATTATATCTCCTGGTGGCAGCCGTCACCCTGAAGACAGGAACAAGGCAAAGAAAGTATACAGGACTTTGATTCTCCTACACAGGTGCACATAAAGTTAGTTTATTAATGACTACATTTTGAAGCCAGCCATTTTGTCCAATATTTAAATAACAAGCTGTTTAATATTAAAGCAGGAGATACTGCCACAATGTGACAGAAGTACAGCTTTATCCATAAACCCTTCACACAATTACACATTAAATGCTACTATTTTTTGTATTTAAGCAAGACACCCCTACTTGTTCTAAAATATGGGATGTACTACCCCAGTGAAAAAGCAAATGAGGAGACAGATTTTTTCCTATCTATCTAGAGCTGGTTTAAATTCAAGTGAAGCCATTAATGTCCTTACCAGTCTGGACTGTTTTGACATGTTACTTCACAGTTTTGAGACTAACAAACACCTTTAAAGTTTACCCAACACCAAAAAAAGAGGGGGGGAGGGTTCAGACAACTTTTAAGTTGAGACTAGAATTCTCCTTAAGTAGACAGGCACCAAAGTTAAATGTTTTAAGCCTTTAACATAAGGCTTAAAAAGTCAAAACATTTCTAAAGACATAAAACTGCCAAACTGTTGTCATTTACACGCACTAACCTGTGTTATTCATTTTTTGTTTTGACTTTCCTTTTTAAAATTCCTAATCCTATTTAAGTAATCAAATACAGCTAAAATTGAAACTACTCTGCCAAACCATACTGGATCAAAGGTCTGAAACCTTTCTTTGCTTTGGTGAGTATTTGGTTAAAATAAATCATTATTTTACTCCATGAGAAGTTTTAAATCAGAGCTCTCAATTCACAGGCAAAAAACAAAACCTTGAACAGATTTTTTTTTTTT